AGCAATTACAGTGACTAAGCGTGACGAATCGCTCCCAACACGGTGTCTACGCGCTGTTAGGAAATGTGTTTGCCTCGCCGTTTTGCCCGGTGTGGCGACGTTTTAAAAATAGACTCATTCACTGCACTTGGAGGCAATTTGTTCCAAATTTTCCCACTAATTTGATTTTAATCTGATATTTAAAATCTGTGTGACCACATTCCCACCGGTTTATAGGGAAGAAGCCCCACCTGGCGGCATTGCTAACTGGCGCTAACCCAGGAGTCCAACAGGACGAAGGATTTGTCCCAGCGCAATCCGAAGGCCCTGCCGTCCGCAATGCTTGGATGCGCGTCCAGCTCGCGGTTGCAAGCGCTGCTGCGAGCCCCTGGCACGTAGTAGGCCTTCAGTCTTGCGCTGGGCACACGAGTCAAGACTGGGGGCTCTATGAGGGTGTGCTCACTTGGTTTCTGGCAAAAAAGCAATCTGTTCTCAGGCGACAAGGAGACAATCCCTACTTCCCCCGGCCCATGACGAGGATGGCCTTGGGGGGTGGGCCAGGCAGCCCTGGCCTTCATCCTGATGACTGGGCGGCCCTCGCTCTGAGCCTCTTAATTTCTCCCCGCTTCAATTTCCTTTTATGCAAAAGGTACGCTTCCACTTCCTTTTATGCAAAACGTATGCAAAACTAGAAACATGTCGTCGTCGTCGTCATCATCGAGTTGTGAAAGGTAAACAGGCGAAGCTTGTGAGACACCCGGCTCCAGCTAACCATGCCCGTGCCAGGGCAGAAGGCAGAGTGGGAGGGCTAGGGAGGGGTAGGGCACGCCTAGGTCCTTGGAAAACTCCAGTGCACGGAAGGCGACAGTCCTCTGAATAATTCAGGGCAAAATCCTTGTACCCAAATGAGCAAAGAACTGAAAAAGTCATTTTAAAGTTGCTTAGATTCCCCCCCCCCCCGCCAAAGGATGCCCTTCGTTTGCTCAGAAAGCATTTAATGGGCTCCTCCTGGGTGCAGAATCCCTTGCCAGGGACCTTGAAGGGCGAGCACAGCGGCCAGACCCTCCAGGGATCTCAGCAGAGCAGGCAAGGTGCCCCGAGTGCTTGTCCCAGTAGACGTTTCTTCGTACAAGTGCGGGATCCCAGGCGATGACTCCTGGTCAGTGGGGACAAGCATTCTCGGGGGGAGGGGGGCAGCCCTCCCCCCAGCATCCTGAGTGCACCCTCTGCCCCTTGGACTACCCCCTACCCCAATCAACTTGGCTCTGCTTGGAAAGTTAAGACCTCGGTGGTCAGGGCGGCCAATGGGAGGGGAGCAGGAGGCACATGCTGTGTGTATTGGGGTCAGGGGACACCTCTTTCTTCCTTCCCTCCCTCAGTTTCCCCCTGGGTCATCTCAGCGCTCGGTGGAACAGCTGGATCCCGTTTGCCCACCCAGCTCAGGCACCGGGTCAGGTGAGGGTGGCGGCTGCCCTGCCCTGCGGGAGGCTACCTGAGCAGGGCCTCCGAGGACCAGGGACGCTCCTGAGGTCCCGGGTCCTGCAGGGAGGGGCACCAAGGCAGGTGGGAGGAGGCCTTGGCCAAGCTTGCCCGGAGCCGGGGCCTCCAACAGGAAAGGGTTCTGGAACCCTCCCCTGCTCTTCTCTGGCTGCCAGGAATGCCACCACGAGAGCAATTCAAGTTAATGAGCAAACTCCTCGGGCGAGGAAGGAAGGCGGCTCTCGGGCACCGCCGACTCCCGGCTCAAGCACAGGAAGCGGTCGGATTCCTCCCGCCATGGTGCCGGCCGCCGGCTCCTCCACGCCCGGGCCAGCCGGGCTCCGTGCAGGGCCAGGGGACAGTGGCACTGCGTGGGTGCCAGGTGCACACGCGCTTGGGGCAGACCGCAAGGCATGGGGCTGGAGGAGCGTCAGACCTGGGGACAGTCGCAGAGGGTGCCCCCCAGGAGCAATTCCAAATTCTCCAAGCCCCCCCCCCCGCCCCTTCCCCCGCCACCTCCTCTGTTGGAGGCGCAGCCCCGTCCAGTCCAGGAGAGGCGGAGGCATGTGACTCACCGGCCGGGCCCCTGAGCCAAGGGGAGGTGGGGACGATGGCTCCCAGCCCGAAATGTGTCAGAGGGGAGGCAAGCTCCTGTGCGGGGCGGGCTGTGCAGAGATGTGGGGCATAGCTGCCTGGGGCGTGTGAGCCGCTCGGGGACGACAGCACAGGCTCCGGGGTTCTCAGCCGGCCGGGCTGGGCCACGCCAGCCTCATCCGGGCCCCGTCGCAGCAGAGCCAGCGGCAGGACCCGGGCTGGGCCGGGCAGGAGCAGCCCCTGGGCTCCCAGACTCTGCGTCCCTGCTGTAGCTTAACCCTCTGTACCCCCAAATCCACCCAGTGGGGGGGGGGGGGGGGTGTGAAACGGTCCTGTGTCCCTGACACTCACTCGCATTGTTGGCCTGATTCCAAGACACCTCCCCCCACCTGGCCGCCACCATGCTTGCCATTCCTCCGCCGAGCTTACTTTCGTCTTTAATTTTAAAAAAATCCAATCAACGGCACGCTTTTTGGTGACATCTTTGAGAATTGCAGAATTGGAACGCCACGTCCGAGAGGTCACAGAGCCAGGTTTTGGGGGGGGGCAGGTGACGCCCCCATATTCACCCATCACAGGCTGGGAGAGCCACTGCCAGTCGGACACCCCCCTTCCTGCTTACCACCCCCCGCCCCCAGACTGGTGTCTCCCCCGAAACACTGGCCGGGAGGGACCTGGCGCTGGGGGCGGGGGGAATCCGGCACACACGCCCGAGGGCCAGGGTGGGACCGGGGCCTCCGTGAGTCTCCTCCACGGAGCGGCAGGCCCTGACGCTGGTGACACAAGGGCGGGGCCTGCATTCCCGCCCACCGGGGGCGTGAGACCGTGTGTGCCCAGGCCTCGCCGCCGCACACCTGCTGTGTGACCAGACACAGGTTTGGCAGCCTCTCTGTTTGAGCACGTCTGAGACGAGTGCCAGCATCCCCAGGGGCAAGATGATGCATGGTGTCCCTGCAGAAGAAAGCAACCACAGGAACCCGACCCCAGGACGAGTCACAGCGCGGAGGACAAGGACCAGGCCACCTGGCTGCCGAGAGGGGAGCATGAGTCAGCAACAAGCTGCCCATCTGCCAGCCGGGTGGCCCGCCCACCCGCCCGCCTGAGAAAGCTCCGGGCCGGGAGGGGGAGGGCCGAGGACCCGGGCAACTCCCTGCTTGTCTCCCGAGCCCAGCTCCTCGCCAGCCAGGTGCTAGGTGATGCGGGCAGGCTGGGATATGAGGGACATCGGTGCTTCTTGCTCCACGCTGGGGCCGGGGTTGGAGGACCCTAAGGTGGCCTGGCATCCACAGACACTTCGGCGCCACCCCCTTTTCTATACCTCCCCACCAAGCACCACTAAAGGCCCAGAGCAGAGTCCAGACGTGGAACAGGGGGCGGAGGTCAGGGGGCAGATAGGGGGGCAGGGCCTAGGAGGGGGATGTCGGCATCAGTGCTGAGTCAGGGCGGGAGAGAGGCCTTCCTCGCCTCCCCCGTCCATGCCAGGGGGCCCCAGTAGACTGTGGAATGTCGTCCTGCCATCTCCAGGGGACTGGTCAGCAGGGCCCAGGGCAGGGAAGATGGAACAGGAGGATGCAGCCGTGGTCCTCTCTGGGTTGTCCAAATGGTGCCCAAGAAGGCAGGGGTGGACTGCAGAGGCAGGAGACAGGCCAGAGGTTGATTTTCACTCCTTGATCTTGTTTTCCCATGCCCTCTGCTACTTTTCACCTGGTATATACAATACCATGGCCTTTGTCCAAGAGCCAACTGGGTCCAGAATCTCCCACTGGTATGTTTTGAGCTCTGGGTTACCTGAAACACGGAGCTGAATAGATTGTCACCAAGGCAACAACTCACCATGAAATGGCCCAGAGCTTCCCCTCATGCGGTCATTCATCAGTTCCAGAACATTCTTACCCATTAATCCTTCAAACAACGTCTCTGCTCCATCTCTACTCTCCTCATCTTCAAGGATAATGTCAAATATATGTTAGATTTTTCTCTCCTCTTTATCTCATATGTCTGTATTTTCTTTTTGTCTTTATGTGCTACATTTGTGGTAAGTTCTTCTGACCTACCTTCCAGTTTGCTAATTCTCTTCTCAGCTATGTTTAATCCTCTATCAAACTTGTCCACTGAGTTCTTGACTTTGTATTGTAGTTTTCATTTCTAGAGAGTCTACCTGATTCTCTTTCAGATCTGATATTTCGCTTTTGACACATCACCGTCCCTGCAGTTATTTTTAAAGCATGAGTCTTATTTCTTTAAACATCAAGAAATTAAGTCTTATTTCTCTAAACATCATAGGCACGCGCTACTTTACAGTCAATTATTTGAAGTCTCTGTATTGTTTCTTCCAGTTTTCACTCCTCGTGTCTTATTTCTGTGTGTGTCTGATTATCTTTGACTGTGTGCTGGTCATTGTTTTTGCCAAAAATGGTAAGAAAAAATTTGGGATTTAGGACAAAGGTCCCTTCCACTGGAGAACATTTCCATCATCTGCTGCCGAACATCTGGGAATACTGCTAGTCCAGAGGACCACCTAAATCGACTGTTAAGGTTTGGAGTCCCTAGCCCACCCAGGCGGTGAGAACTTGGTTGCAAGATCATATAAGGGCCGGTTTATGTCTGAGGTCCACCCTTGTGCCGAGGGTGTAGCTCTTTGAAGTCCCACATCCATATGGGCTGGTGTCCTAGTTAGTATATGCCCCACCTAGTGTGAGCCCTGAGGTTTGATTTATGTCCCTCTCATTCCATGAGGCTATCAAAATAAGACTCCAATTTGTTGGGATCAGAAAATGCCTTAGGGAGACAGTGGCTTCTGCTCTTGCTTCTCTGTTTGGATTCCTTTTCCCCTCAATTTTGCCCTGGCAACTCTCTCCATTGTTCTTAATATAGTGTAACAATCTTTACCCAGCACTGTGAGTTGTTTTCAGTGAGAGGACGGGACCCAAATACTCTAGTTGGCCCACACTGGAGACTGGAAGTCCCTCTTTCGTTCACTCCTTCATTCGGTGTTTGTGGAGCACCTACCGGGTGCCAGGCACCGTGCTGGGGGGCAGGGCAGTAAACCCGGCAGGACAGAGCAGGCTCTGTGGGGCGCACCGTCTCTCGGGGAGACAGACGACAAACAGAGGGTTACGCAATCGACCGGTTAATTGCAGTTGTGACATGCATTGTGCAGTGGAGAAACTCAGGGGCGGTGAGCACGTCTGCCTGGGAGTGCTCACCTGCTTCTCCGACTCAGGGACCTGTTCTCGGGGACGGGATTCTTAAGCTGAAAGATCTGCAGGGCCAGCGGGATGGATAAAGTAGTTGGGGTTTGGAGCAAGAGAACCCAGGCAGAGGGAGCGGCATGTGCAAAACTCAGAAACGGGAACTCGGAGCGTGACATTTCCAGGTTCTGAAAGACGCCCAGTGTGGCCGCAGGGTGCAGAGGGGGGGTGGGGCGGGTGGAGGAGGAGAGGGTGCAGGGTCGCCTGCAGGGGCTCTCATGCACAGGGCTTCAGGCCTCGGTCAATTTCCCAGGGGCCGCAGGAGCTGTGGGGAGCACCGGGGTCAGGCTTGCTCACGGAGACCACCTGCTGCCGTGTGGAGGGTGGACGCACACAGGGGCTCGGCCCGGCCTCAGAGGAAGCGCCGTGGCACCGAGGTGAGTGGCCCCGGCTCAGGGACTCGGACAGGAAGGGCTTCCACCAAGCCCGGGCACCGAATTGACCCAGGACGCCCAGGACTGCTGGTTCCTTGCCTGCTCTTGGGTCCCCTCCCCATCCTGCTCTTGGGTCCCCTCCCCATCCTGCTCTTGGCCCCAGGGGTCCGGCCTGTGTGGGCCACTCCGAGGGTCCCGGGAGCCTTCTGGCTTCCCGTTGGGTTTGGCACAAACAGGACATAGGAGAGGTTGGGGTGTTTCTTCCCTGCTTCTTGGGGCACCCCCTTCCCCAAGACTGTGGCCCCTGGCAGGTGTCCTGTCCTCTGTCCCCCACGGCTCCTGTTCTCACCGGGCCCCGGTGGCACTAATTCCTGCCCTCATCCCTTTCGCCTTAAGGTGGTGGCAGTGGCTGCTATGGCAAATTTCTGGGGGCCTCGACGTCCCTTCTTAGTGCCTTTAACCCAGGTCGTGCCTGCATAAATGGTCCCTTTGTTAACATCCCTTTATTGGAGCCATCAGGGGGAGTTTGGTGGTCTGCCAGGGCCCTGCATGATCACCAATCTTCGGGGTGTTTTTTTTTTTTGCTTTGCAGAAGCCGGAGAAGCAAATCTGTCCGAGAATCCCGGGTCGGGGGCAGGGGCTCAGTCCCTCCTGGAAGCCGAAGGGCTGGTGTCGGAGCCCTCGTGCAGGCCCTGCATTCTGTAAAACCCGACGCCCGTGTGTGCGTGCCTGGCAAGCCGGGGCCCAGTGACAAAGGCGGCCGTGGCAAACCGACGGTGCTCCAGTATCAGCGAGGACAGGAGGAAGTGGGGGAAATTAGAACACATCTGCTGTCTTCTGCCTGGCTGCGCATCCCTGCCGCCCCTGCTGGGAATTCCGGGCGCGGGCGGGCGGGAGGGGGGCAGCGCTTTGCGAGCTGCGCTAAGACGCGGGTCCCAGATGTGGCTGGAAAGTGGCACCCGGAGTGACTGGGCCGAGGTGCGTCTGACTTCTTTGGGGGGGGGTGGGGACGCACGTGCTAAGTCCAGCGCCGTGCAGTGTGAGGGAGAATCTCACTCCCGCTTGCCGGCCCTCGCCTGCATCTTCCTCTCCCCTAGCCTTTGTCCTCCCCTCTCCACCCCCTAAACCCCCCCATGCACCCGAAATTGGCCTCGGCCCCCCACTCCTTTCCCTTTGAAGATGCCTGCGTGTGCACCAGCGCCACACGGGGGGGGGGGGTGACAGATATTTGAGGATCGTGTCCGGAAATTTGGCATTCACTCCGTGCAGGAGCGAGCGGGGCGGACGCAGGGGAGGACAGGAGCCGCTGCCACCTTTCGGAAAGTAGCCTGGGCGGGCACGAGAGTGGCCAGGTAAGGGCTCTTCTGGGAGGACGCGGTATGTGTTCAGTGGAGACGGAGGTGACAAGACAGGGCCCAGCCAGTCAGAGGACGTCCCCCGGAATAGGCAAGGGCAAAGCTCCCGTGGAAGGTCAGCGTGGCCCGATGAGGGGAGGGGGCGGGAAAATAAAGGGGGCGTGGGGAGGGGCGTGGGAGGAGGGCAGAGACGGCCTGCCGGGCCTGGGAGGTGGGGCAGGCACACAGCCACGGCGGCCTGGGACGATTCTACCTTACTCCCTTTGATCCAGACTAGTCATTTGTGGTGTTCCCTTTGAGCTCCCCCCAAAATGTCCCTGCTTGTTCAATAAATGACACTCAATGTCACTCGACTCACAGGACAGAGCAAGAAGTCCAGACCTGATATATTTCGACTGTAATGGGAAGTCACACGGGTTTCATTTTTTTTTTTTTTTTTTGAGACAGAGTCTCGCTCTGTTGCCCAGGTTAGAGTGAGTGCCGTGGCGTCAGCCTCCCTCACAGCAACCTCCAACTCCTGGGCTCAAGCGATCCTCCTGCCTCAGCCTCCCGAGTAGCTGGGACTACAGGCACGCGCCACCACGCCCGGCTAATTTTTTCTATATATATATTAGCTGGCCAATTAATTTCTTTCTATTTTTATAGTAGAGACGGGGTCTCGCTCTTGCTCAGGCTGGTCTCGAACTCCCGACCTCGAGCAATCCGCCCGCCTCGGCCTCCCAGAGTGCTGGGATGACAGGCGTGAGCCACCGTGCCCGGCCCACACGGGGGTTTTGAGGAAGAGAATGACAAGAGGGAGACTTCTGCTTCGTTCTCCAAATACCTGCTGAGCGGCAGGTGCTGGCCCCAGAGCCAGGGCGACTTCCGCCCTGCAGGAGCTCAGCCGCCAGCCTCGAGGCTGCTGTCCTCGAAGATCAACCAATTCTCCGCAGCCCCCGGGACCCTGGACGGGTCGAGGTAGCCCCTGGACAGATAAAAAGATGAAGGCAAAAAGAATGTGATCCTTGTTCTTTTTCTAAGTTTAATAACTGGAAAATCGTAAGTTACTTCCCATGAAGTCTTCTCCCAGATTCGCTTCCGAGGGGAGGTCTTGGCAGGGCGCTACGCGCGGCGCAGCTTGTGCCTTCCTCCTTCTGTGGCCGGTGAGCCCCGCCGTGCGCTGGCTGCCCTCGCCGGGCCCCTCACTCCACGCAGGTTTTCGCGCAAGGGAACCGGCTCACCAGTGCTCCCAGAATCCCAGCTCGAGTGGCCTAAGGAGAAAGGGGTACATGACACCTCTGACACGTCTCACCCCAAACCCTGCCTCTGTGATGGAGACTTAGGCATTGAGCCAAGGGCAGTGAGGAAAACAAAACCCAACACAAGGGTGCCTTCAGGCACGGCTGTATCCAGCAGCCCGGACTGCGCCACCGGGAGTCCTCTCTCTTACCCGGTTTTGCCATCCTTTGTGCTGGCTTCCGTCTCACACTGGGGGGGAGGGGGTCCCCAGTAGTTCAGAGCCACCAAACAGATACCCAGCAACCCCAAACAGAGCTTTAATTTCTGAATCATTCCACGCAAAAAATCCCAGGATTGGCTTCTGTTGGACCGTACGTAGGCTCATGGCTGAACCAGCCACTGCATCCCGGAGGGTGGCAGATGCCGATTGGCCAATCCGGAGTCACATCCCCACCTGCAAACACACACACACACACACACACACACACACACACACAGTTTGGGGGATCAGCCCCACCCAGACGCATGGAATGAGCGTGGGGGAAGGGAGGTTCTCCGAGGAAACCCACGTGGAGGCGGGCAGGAGAGAAATGGGGGCACAGGCAGGCAAAACGAGTGGCGTCCGCCGTGCCTGCCCTTTGTCCCAAGAAGAAATGGAGCCCACGGAGAGCGAGGACGGCCCAGGGGACTCTTTCACCATGGCTTCCAAGGAACAAGCGTGTGCACACAGCCCTGGCGGAGGGAGAGGGCAGTGCGTTTCTGGGCTCAGCCGGGGTGGGGTGGCTCGCGCCCCAGGTCTGCGCCTCATTCCTGCCCCACGGCCTCAGGCTCCCAAGGCCCCCCCCTGCCCCTGACAGGCAACACGGGCCCCTCGGGGACCTGCGAGCCCAGCGCACGGAGGCAGGGCTTTGGGGGACACACGTGGCAAGGGACAGCAGCCCCCAGGGACCTGGGAGTGCGCCCAGGCGCCCCCCACCCCCACGACACCTGCCTTGGGGAGGGAGGGATTGGGAGCCGTGACCTGCCACCTCTGAAACTTCGAGGTCCTGTCCCCAAGGGCACCTGGAATCCTCCACCTGAGCCCTTCTGAGGCCTCCAGTCCCTGGGGTGCGGATCAGCTTCCTGCTCCCTGGGACCAGAGTGTGGGGGGTGGGGGTGGCTACAGGGGGTGGGGGGACCCCCGCCCTGCTGGCTCCGGGAAGGATGTCCAAGGAAGCCCCGTTTCCCCTCGTGCCCCTCACTGGGCTACAGGAGGCTGCTCTGAGCAGGAAGGGAAACCCCTTTGCCGAGCGCCTGCGACAGGCAGGTGAGCTCTCAAATCTCGTGCACCTGTTGGCCCTCAGCCTGCCCATTGGGGGAGGACGGGGAGGCGCCCCATGGCCACCAGATGCCACCGAGACTCTCAGCCTGCGGCACCAGGCCCCCCGACACGGCCACCACCTTCCAGCTTCCCTTGCTGAAAAGAATGGGGTGCGGTGGGGTGGGGGGGCCCTGGGGCAGTGGGAAGGAGCCCGGAACCCATGTGCCACGAGGCCCCCCCCCCCCCGCTCGGGAAGAGAGGGAGCCCGGAGGCCCAGCCCAGCTGAGCGGGAGCCCCCCACCCCCCGGGGACCGAGAGGAAGGCTTCCTCCCAGTGTCTTCATGCCACAAGATGTAAAATAATCCCCTCCGCTCAGAAAAACACATTTTATGGCTGTCTGACTCATTTCCCACAAAGCTAAATTCACCCCCCCTCCTCCCCGACATTGAGAAGCTTTTGTTTTGAAAAATAAAAAATATGTTCAAAATTTCAAGATGACTTTTAGACATAAATTGTTCTCGTCCTCACCCTCGTCCCAGGCCCCCCTCACCTAATTTCCCAAACGCTGGCCGCCGGAGCCCGGGGAGGACCGGGTCCAAGTGGGTACTGGAGGACTCCCGGCTCTCTGGGCAACGCGGCCCGGGGGGGGCCCGGCCGGCGGACGCCTGCTGGGTGCTGGGCTGGGCGGGGGGGGGGGGGCCTTCGGGGTGTGGGCTCCTGGCGTCTGCTCTGGCGCCCCGATCCTTCTGGTCTGGGGTCCCCTGTGGGCCCCTGCAGCGCCGGGCGGAGCCATTCCACTGGCCCCCGGCCACCCTCACACTGGAGCTCTGCAGGGCGGCCGCCTACACTGACATGCCCTGGCCTGAGCCGTTGAGGGACCCCACCAGCGAGGCATGAGGGGCCTCTGATCCCCCAAATCCTCAGGGCTTTCCATTATGCCCCAAGCGCCCTGAGACATGGCCTGTGACTGTCCCACCGCCTCAGTTTCCCCAACAGCCCTGGGCCGCGGCCACCCAGGGATCCCTGTCACTCAGGCAGGAAACAGGGCCCCGGAGGACAAGTGACCCATGTCAGCCCAGGGGAGCCTGGGCTTGGCCAGTGGCCACTGACGCCCAGGGCTCGGACGGAGACCCCATCCCAAGAGCCCGTGGGGTCCTGGCACATGGCTGGGCCGCCCCGGAGGGTCCAGGCCCACAGAGCCAGCCTCCCGTCCTGCCAGGCAATGTCGCTGCTTGGTGCATTCCAGGTTTTTCTGCACACAGTGCTCAGGCACCCAGTACCTATGGTCTCTCTGTTTTCCCAGAGGACACCCCTGACAGCTTCCTCAGGTCTCCCGGAGAGGTGGGGCAGCCTGTGGGTGGGCAGGGGGCTCCCACCGGCACTAGCCGCCACTGAGCCAGGAGCCAGGTCCGGGCAGGGACCTGCCACGCCTGGGCCAGCCTGTGGGCTCAGGCTCCTGGGATCCGGGATGAGATCGCAGTCCCCTCCCCAGCTGCCATGAGCCCCATGGAGTCCAAGAGCTGAGTAGTGCTGGGCCCCTGCCCCCGTTGGGGAGCTGGGTACTCCCCCTGAGCTGCCAGCTCCTTGAGGGATCTCTGAGCTACTGAGCACCAAGGGACTCGGTTCCTGGTACCTGACATGTGCTAAGAGCTGCCCACGCTGGGGACACAGGGCACAGTGTCAAGCCACAGGAGGCCCCAACAGGAGGTACAGGCAGGCCCCAGCCCCCATAGGAGCTGCCCAGGCCACCAGTCTGCCGCCATTCTCCACGCTGGCCTGCACTCAGCTCCGGGACAGGCCCTGGCTCCTGGTCTCCTAACCCTAACCCTAACCCTAACCCTAACCCTAACCCTAACCCTAACCCTCACAACCCGGGAGCGGGCAGCAGTGTGGGAAGCAGCCTGGAGAGCTGGGGGGTCTCACAGTCAAGGCTGGGGGGTCGGCAGGGCAGCCACACCCCGCTGCCCGGGGAAGAGCGTGGACTGGGGTCCCCCAGGCTGGCTGGGCCACGGGCATCGGGGAAGGGCCAGAGGTGACCCGGACTTCCTTAACCACAAGAAAATGACTCAGCTAAACTGAGGAAGACTTCCGTCCTCAGCAGAATGTTTTTTCCACTACGGTAAGAGATTTTCACCCGCAGGCTCCAAAGGAGCCGAGTCCCCCAGAGATGGCTTCGGGGAGTTTCGGTTTGAATAGTCAACGCCAATTCTTAATCATTATTTTGAAAAGGCAGCTCTTGGTTTTCCAGCAGGTGGCTGGGTCCCAAAGAGCCCAGACCCAGGTGTGCGAGCGTGCGTGTGTGTGTGCATGTGCCTGCGTGTGCATTTGTGCCCTGGTGACGCCGGGGGCCAGGAAGGGCGACGTTTCGCCCCCAGGTCTGCAGAAATGAGCTGGGTTCTCCAGCCCTCACGGCCCTGCCCGGCTGAGCAGGGCGACCGCAACGTGTGTCGGGCAGCGGGCTGGGCACTTCCCGCATCACCTCGTGTGAATGCTCACGGCCCCGGGAGGTGGGTCCCCTCCCAGGTGGCAGCTCAGGCTCCCAGAGAGGAAGGCACTAGTGGCTCACTCAGGCAGCCCGACTCCCTTGGAGACCTCCCGACCGCTGCCCCACCTGCCCCGCCACCTCCTGACCCTGCGCAGGTTCTCCTGCCGGAGCAACCGGCTGCTCTGGGCCCCGCAAGGTCTCGGGGCTTCTTTCCGGAGCCCTTGCTAGCACGTCAGCCCATCGGCGATCAGAAGCTGAGGGTGTGTGGCCGGGACATGAGCAGAGCAGCCCTGAGCCCCAGGCGGGCTGGGGCGGGGGGGACAGTGGGGGTCTCCCACGAGTGGGAAGCCTGACCCTGTCCCTGTGACTCCCCCTGAACGAGCCTGGTCCCAGGGAGCGATGGGGAAGATGGCTGGCTGCTGCAGCCTCCTCCTGCTCCCGTCCAGCCCAGGTGGGCTCCCTGGAGGCAGAGGCCAGCAGGCTCTGGCCTGGAGGGCAGCAGACAGCACAGCAAGGGGATGGCAAGTGCCGTCCCAGGCAAGAAGGGGCTGCTGCCCACCTTCAACAGGGGCCAGAGTCTGCTCCCGCCGGCCTGCTCCACGCTGGGAAATGACTCTGTTCCTTGTTCCTCTGAGCCCCCACATTCCGAGGGGTGACAGAGTGCTGGGTCCTTGCCACTTCGTAGCTGGGGCCCTCTGAATCCTGGGGCCCCACCCTGCCTCCTGCTCGGGCCGGGTCAGTTTCCCTACCCCGAAGGCAGGCGGAGTCCCCGGCTGCCCAGTGGAGGAGGCCTTGCCGGGTCTGCAGGGACTCAGCGGACAGAGCTGGCCTGGCCCGTGTGGCTCCGTGGCCCGGGGCCATGGCTCCGTGGCCTCCCCAAGGCCCAACTCGCCAGCCAGACTCCAGGGGAGGAACAGGGGCCGCGGGGGGTGGGGTGGGGAGAGGTGAGGCCCGAGCCCCCTCCCCGGGGTGCCGGCAGCTCCAGGGCGAAGGGCAAGCGGGGCTCTGCCAGCGCGAGCAGGCAGGGCCCGGGCAGCACAGAGAGGGCTGGGCGGCTCCCGGGCTGCCCCTTAGGGAGGCAGAAAGTGGCAGCAGCTGGGGGAGGCGGGAGCTGAGCGTCCAGCACGAGAGGGGCTGAGACAGGCAGAGGCCAAAGGCAAGGCGGGGGCGGGGAGGAGGAGGCACACGCAGCAGCACCCAGGGCCATGTCCAGACGCCTGGGCCAGCTGGTGCCCCTGCTGCCAAAGAGCCTCCCCCAGGGGTGGCCCTGCCTGTTCGCCGCCCTTACTCACCCTCTGCCCACACGGAGGCCCCCACCTGCCCCGCCCCCAGGGCTCACGCAGGACAGCTGCGTCTGCGAGTGACGTGTTTATAGGCGTGTGTGCGTGTGCACGTTGTGTGTGCCATGTGTCTGACCTAAGACCCTCTTGCACCTAAGACCCTCGACCGCCCAGAGTCAGCAAGGCAGCCTGGGCGCCTGAGCCAGGCCCCTCCCCAAGCCCAGCGGCCCCCCACCCCCCAAGCCTGGGCCATCCCAGCTGGCCCTCGGGCCCCCAGGGGCCACGCAGACCCAGGTGGCAGCAGGGCCTGACTGACCGGAGGCCCCTGACCACTTACTTGCAGTAAGTGAAGACGAGCATACAGTGGGAGTGCTCCCACTCCAGTGCTCCCCGAGCGGGCCACAGAGTGTGTCTCACACGCGGAGCTCAGTGCGTGAGTGTGTGCACACGTGCACACGTGAGCCGTCACGCCTGTCCCCCGTCAGTGAGCCTCAGCCTGTCCCCACCCGCAGCCCCCATCAGCCCCACATCCAGAGCCCTCGGTGGCCCCTGAGGGCCCAGGGTGCCGAGGTGGGGGAGGGAGGCCGGGAGCAGGAGGGCAAGAGAGGTCAGGGGGCGGCGAGGCCGGAGGGGCCCGGCGGGCTCCGGCAGGCTGGGGACGCTTGGCCAGCGAGGCCTGTTTACTCGGAGGCCCTCGAGGTCAAGGCCCAGGCCCCGGGTTGATTATTAACGGCCGCCGCCCAGCCAGCCTGGCTGGTGGCTGCCCGCGTGGTGTAGGCCGGAGCCAGGGCCCAGGCACCGCCCCCCCTCGGCCGCCCTGCGCAAGGGGGGCCGGAGCATCTCAGACGGTGCCAGCTCTGCAGCCCCAAGGAACCCACACCCCCAACGGGGGGCCGGCCTATGCCAGGACGCTGAGGCCATGAAGGCCAGCAAGACAAGGGGCCTCCAGCAGCCCAGCTTCTGCGTGTCACACGGCAGGGTGGGGACAGGGCAGCGGCGGCAGTGGCAACAGGAGGAGGGTCCTGGTGGGGGATGCCTGTGTCACGGGCTGGGCTGGGTGGTATCTGCCAGGTGCAGTATCCCAGGCCTGTGCTCGGGGCATCTGGGCCAACAGGTTCTCTGGGGACCTCCCGGGGGAGGGGGCTCCAGTTGTGTCCCCTCCGCCCCCCCCCCCGCAGCAGTCAGGACAGGCGGCTGCCCCCCCCCCCGCCCCCGTCCCATCCTGGGCACCCTCTCCGGGACAGAGGAGCTGCAGCTCATCAGCAGCTTTGGGGCCGCAAATCCTGCTCCGTCCTGGAGATCAGGTTCCCCCCACCAGGCTGGGGACGAGGACCTGGTGGCAGTGCTGGTCACCCACCCTCCCCAGAGTCAGCCCTGCCCCAGGGGGCAGCCTCATCCTCAGCCCGACCCATGCTGGGCCACGCGGGAGGATTAGGGGCTGGCGTGAGGGAGGCTCCAGCATCTGCACCAAGAACGGCGGCCGTCCCTGGGCCCCAGGTGACAGTGGTGCCCGGAGGACCTTGTTGCGGTCCAGACGGTGACTCAGCAGGTCCGAGCCGCCCAGGACTCTGCATCTCTCGTGAGCGTCCGGCGAGGCGAACGCTCCTGCCCCCCACCCGGACGGCCCCCCTGCGTGGCAGAGCCCCCTGGGACTGTCACCCGCCCCTAGATCCATAGACCATTAGCCTCGAGGAGTTTCGCTTTAATTTATTACGCCCTAGAGCAGGGGTCCTCAAGCTTTTTCAATAGGGGCCCAGTTCACTGTCCCTCAGACCGTTGGAGGGCCGGACTATAGTTTAAAAGAAACTATGGGCTGGGCACGGTGGCTCACGCCTGTCATCCTAACACTCTGGGAGGCCGAGGTGGGTGGATGCTCCAGGTCAGGAGTTCGAAACCAGCCTGAGCAAGAGCAAGACCCCGTCTCTACTATAAATAGACAGAAATTAATTGGCCAACTAATACATACAGAAAAAATTAGCCGGGCATGGTGGCACATGCCTGTAGTCCCAGCGACTCGGGAGGCTGAGACAGGAGGATCGCTTGAGCCCAGGAGTTTGAGGTTGCTGTGAGCTAGGCTGATGCCACGGCACTCACTCTAGCCTGGGCAACAAAGTGAGATTCTGTCTCAGAAAAAAAATTAAATTAAATTAAAAAAAAAAAAAAACAGGAACAAATTCCTATGCACACTGCACATATCTTATTTCGAAGTAAAAAAACGAGCGGGCAAAAACATCCGCATGTGGCCCGCAGGCCGTAGGTTGAGGACGCCTGCCTTAGAGGGATGCAGCCATGAAGGGGTTAAAGCTGCCAGGTGGGGAGGGGGCCTGGGGCAGCCAGTGCCAGGGGGTATTTGTGCCCCCCCGCCCCCCTGCTCCATGGAGCATCATCCTGGGGTGCTGTCCCTGCCTCCACAGTAGTAAAAGGGTGTCCCGGTCCAGAGCCCCCAGCCCGTGCAGCTGGCAGGAGAGCGTCAGGAAGGGCCTCAGGGCGTGTCCTGCCGGCCCCCTTGGGAGCAAAGGCTTTCTGGGCCCCCTCGAAAGCCCGGCCGAGGCCATGGGCGCTGCAGCACAGAGCACGGCTCGGTCCAGCCTTCGGGACACGGTTGCCCCTTCCCAAGGCACCACGTCTGCCTGACCAGGAAATCCCGAACCGAGCCCGCCTGTCCCTCCCTGAGTCAACACCTGCTGCGAGGAGGGCGGCAAGGCAGGAAGACTGGCCCTAGCGGTGCAGCCGCTGTGTCCTCCTACGCACACAGAAACGCACACACGTGTGCACACGCAAACCCGGTCGCATGCACTTGCAGTCACGTGTGTACACACAGACACACTCATGAGCACACACCTGTGCAGACACACAGAGGCAGCCCCGCACCAAGAGTGCACACACGTGCGTACACTTGGAGCCACACGGGCGCACACGCATGTGCACACGCACACGCAGACACACACTCAAACCCGCCACACGCGCACACCCTGCTCCGCTTTCCTTTCCGGCGGCCCCGCGTGCCTGCCGGCCTCCCTGGCAGGCCCCGGCCGCCCAGCCCCGAGAGCCTGCCCTCGGGCTGCCCCGGGAAGTCTTGGACCAGGCCCGAGCACTTGAACCTCGCCCCAGGTTCTGTCCTTGGTGTCCTGGTGCCACTTGGTGGGGTGGGGTGGGCAGCATCGGACACCCCTGCGAGCCTGGCCCGGACGGGGTGGTGCTGGAGGGTGCCCAGGACCCTGCAGGGGGAGGGCCCCCGTCTCAGGCTTGGACCAGACGCCCATGCCGGTTTCCCACCAGAAGCGTGGACCCCGGAGCCCGGGGCCGTGTCTGGCTCACGGCAGGCCGCCCCACGGCAGCCGGGTGAAGGAGCAAAGGCCTGGCGGGGGCCCCTCTGTCCCCAGTGGGTCCCTGCCACGCTGCGACCTGCCTCTTCTCCCTGGCTCGCATCCACCGCGTGTGAGCCGGGCCCAGGTGAGCCGGCCTGCCGTGGCTCCCGTCTCCGGGGCGGCGGGCTGGCAGCGCCAGGACGTGCCCACACACGGCTCCCCCGTGGCCGCACGCCAAGCCAACGCCAGAGCCAGGCCGAGAGCGCGGTCTCGGGGCCTGCCCACCCCCACGTCCTGCCCAGCCCTCCCCGCCCCCTCCAGCAGGACACCCGCCCTCAACACCCACCCCCCACGCAGGACCCAGCTCCTGCTCATGCACCAACCCCCCCCCCCAGAGGACAGGGACGGCCTCCCTCCCCTGCCACCCCCGGCTGATCGGCTGATCACACAGCAGCCAGGGGTCTTTGCAGACGTCAGGCCGTGTTCCCAGCCCCCAAAGCCTTTCCAGCCCTGATACCTGCTGCTGCCCCTGCATCCCGCAAGGTCCCGCGTGGCCTGGCCACCCTCCCCCCACCTCCGCTACGGTGACCCCATTCTGTCCCCCAAGCAGGTGCTCTTGCCTCCGGGACTTTGCACTGGGCTCCCTCTGGGTCTTCGGTTGGCCGGCCCTGTTTCCTCCTGGAGGTTCTCTTCCGTTCTTCTGCCACCTCCCCCGGCAGGCCCTCTTGGATTGCCAGCTCCATAAGAGCAAGGACCACGCCTGTCCCATTCTCAGCCTGGAGGGGGCCTGTCTGGCAGGTCATTGACAGTATATCGGTGTTTGTTGAGTGACTGAATGACCAAGAGAGGGCAATGCCAACCCCAAACACATGAGTCTGAAAGAGGAACAGCCATGCGCCAGGCCCGGGGCAGACTGATGAGGGGAGTGTGGGGCCTCTTGGGGTCCTCCCGGCCCAGGCCACATAGCCAGGCCCACACCCTTCGCTCCTGGCGGGTTCGGCTCTGCCCCAGCTGCTCCTAGCCCTGTGCAGTAACTAGACTCCTGGATTTACAGGGGCGAGCACTCTGCCAAGTGCCTGCCTCCGCTCCTGTGTCTAGAACATTCCACCGCCTGGAATGTCCCTTCCGTCTGCCTCTGAACAGTCCTTCCCTGTGCCCAGGCCACAGCCGGGTCCCCTCTCAGTCATGAGTGGACACGCCCAGGCACTCAGTGGCCTTGCCCTGAGGTTCCCACCACCCTGGGCAGGCTGAGGGGCTGACGCCAGGCCCGGCCAGGGCTCTATGGGATGGGTCAGAGGACAAGGGGTCGGTCAGGTCTGAAGAAGCCCAGAGATGGGACAGGGGTCGCTCTGAACCCAGGAGAGACAGGGGCTTAGCTAACCGGTTAGCCGGTCGGACAGTAGGCTAACTAGTTCACTCATCAGTTTGCTCCCTTCGTTTCCGAACCCGCACCACGTTTGCGGTGGAACGAGTCCGCTTCCCCGGCTCCGTGCAGCCTCTGGGGGCCTGGCCGAGGGCCGGCGGGGCTGGAAGAAGGTGGGGAAACACATACCTGGGTCTCACCTGGCACCAGGGGGCAGCCGACTGCAGCCCCCAGCCACATCTGGCCTGCTGCCCAGGTTGGAGACAGTTTAAAGAAGTTTTCATGAGACATGAAAATGATGTGAAATTCACATTTCAGTGTCCACGAATAAAGTTTTATTAAAACACAGCCGCGTTCATTCACTTACTGTCTACGGCTGACTTTGCCTGCAGTGGAGCTCGAGCGGTGGCAGCAGCCATCCCACGGCCCTTTACAGAGAGTGTGTGCTGCCCTCTGCCCTGGACCTGCCACCCACCCTCCGCCTGGCCGTGGGCAAGGGATGTCTCCCCCCGCGCCGTGTCCCGTGTGGGCCTCGGGGCGCACGGCCCGGCCCTCGGAGAACGGCAGCGAGGACTCCGGGTTCGCTGTCTGCAGCTGGGGGTGACAGGGCCGTCCCCGGCTCACGCTTCCTCTACGCCAGTCAATAGGAACCGAGCCAGGCGGGGGCTGGCCTCGTGCCCAAGGCCTGCCGGCGAGGGACATGCACCCGGGGACATGGAGGGGCACAGCAGAGGGACAGGGAAGCTGACCAGGATGCACAGACGGGCCACAGAGACAGGGATGCCCAAGCGAGGTCTTAAAACATAAGTCGAAGTTTGCCAGGGGAAGCGTGGTGGGTGGAGGGAAGAGCTTTATCAAGGCGCAGAGGCAGAGAGGGAGTGTCAGGCCCAGACCTGGAGGGGGATCCGGGTAATGGGGATTTGGGGCCATCAGAGGTCACCCTTCATCGCC